AATTTTTCGCTCTTCCGCTTCAGCATATTTTTGATCCTAATCGAAGTCCTATCGCAGTTCTGAGTTGTTGGTTCGACAGTTTTAACCTTAAATTTTTGCACGGGATGACGTTCAACCATTGGGAGCCAAATCTATCTTGGAACGCGTTGAACCTTTTTACGTCCGTTGGTTCGAGTCGTAAAATCAAGTCTGCAATTTCGCTGTCAAAAATTGGCTCCGTCCAATTTTTTTGGATTTCATTTTCCGGAGCCATTTCAATTTTTCCAAGGTCAAACCACCATTTAAGCGCATCATCATAGGTTCCATCCACATGCTCCAAACCAAAGATTTCGATCAAGGCATCTTTTGCTCCTACTGCTGAGGCTAAGAAAGCGGGTAAAGCGAGTAGACGAGCGGAAGAAACGCTCAAGCCACCTTTGGCTGCCGGGAGAACTGCTTGTAAAAACTGGTTATTATCCATTTTCACGTTAGTGACCTTGCATAACGAATTTCTTAGTATTTTATCGTAGCGTTCCAAAAAACAGGGGCTCTTACGCAAAAAACATAGGAGTTTTGGCATGCTAAAGCAATTTTTCAGGAGGTAAAAACCATAATGGGCGTCTAGTTTGTCAATGACATCCGAGATTTTTTCAAGCTCCTTAATTTTTTCGTTGAGCAATTCTTTTAGGCAAAGCTCGCCGATTGGAGATCCTAAAATGAGGAGTTCTTCTTTTGTTTTTTCTTATTTTGGGGCATATTTTTCGAAATTGTAATAAAATTAAATTATACTGTGTACTAGTAGTCGGTCCCAAAAAACAAAGTTGGAAAGGACATTATCGCTTTGTATAGGTCGAAATCGGTTACGAAAAAACTATCCAACTTTTCTGGATTTGGAGCTGCAAATTTGGCTCGCTGTGGGTGCTTAGACAACAATTTTTGATAGTTATCAGTTGAAAAAGGAGCTATTTTGTCATCCGAAGCAGCAAGCTTTATTCCTCCCTTTACATTTCCTTCATCGAGCTTACTACTTATTAACTTTATTCTCTGCTCGAGATCACTCAGAGGCGGGCTTGAAACTTGGGGATGGGGTTTTGGAAGTGACACGTCATTTGCTCGAATTTTTTTATTTATCAAAGAGCTCGCGCTTGTGGTCTGTTTGCGTCCACTTCTTTTCGGTTGCTCCAAAAAAAAACAAGAACGACGTTAAAAAAATTAGCCGTTTTGTAACATCTTCTTCATTGTAGACGATGTTATTTATTTTGTCCGATAGACGTTCCGCCAAGGGAACACTCGAGACTTTTGGTACTCTCTTGAGTACTCGGACATTTGAGATGGCTGTATTAACATAATTGTCTAGCACTAAATCAATACCTATTGTTGCTTTATTAACAGATTTTACATCAACGCATAAAATACACTGAAACCATTGGGTTTTCTTAGAGTCGCTAAGAGAAATATTTACACAACTGATATGATACCAACTAGAACAACAATCACATCTAATCCAATTTATCAGTCCAGAAGGTTTTAAGCAATCTTTGCTTGTACACTCTTTGTTGTTTTTCCTCATCTTGACGCAGCATGTAGTTAAAAAAAAGATTTTGACTGGACTTTAGGGGACTGAACTAACCCATGATAAGTGGTTAGTGGGAATTTTACAAATCAGCAAATAAAAAAAAGACAACTAAATTAATTTAAATTTTAAAATCGAATTATAAAAATCAAAAACAAGGAACAATCTCACCCGAGCTCAGTAGGTCCAGCGGCGCACCACCAGACTCCTCAAGCCAGTTCCAGTTTCCCACCTCCCCACAGAAAGCCACTTGACAGACCTGTCTCTAAAATCCCTCAGAGTGCGCTCCACATACAGGCACAAACATCAAACAAAACAAATCTATTTAGCAAGTTTATCACAACAATTAGGCTAAAAGGAAATGATTGAGATAAAAATACCGGGATGGGTGGAGGGTTTTTTGTCTATCGGATCTAACATCCTGTCCCAGACAAACTAAATGAAGTCAGTTTTTTAGCACACATAAACTTGTTAGTCGGAATTAAAGAAATATGACATGCTGGTTAAAATTGAAACGGCCGGAATGTCGTGCACAAAAAAGTACGCCAGTTTCCAAGAGATGTAGGAGTTGAAAAAAATAGGAAATGTTACAAAGAGAACTGGTGGCGATTTTTTTTGGCAAAGTAATCGCGTTTTGCGTCAGAAGAAAATACTCATATGACGCAACACTTTTTGACAAGATCGAGGATGCAAATATTGAGACTAACACTGAAGTGACTAGGAATAAAATAAAGAATATCAATATAGATTCTCCAAAAAAGCATTTTCTGGGATTTGAAAAGCCTGTAAACAAGTTTTCTACTTAAAGAGGCCTCTAACCTCGCCCTTTGAAATAAATCAACTTATTTTTAAAATTGTTGTAATAATTTTTTTACTACAACATAAGAATGACCCGAGACAAACTATTTCTACTCTTTTCTTTCTCATAAAAAATTAAAACCGGAAAGAAACAAGAATAGTCAAAACATCGAGCTCCAAAAGTTTCTTCAGTTACTGAATATTTTTGCCAGAAATGTTTGTCAAAAGGACTTCCATATCGCAATGAACCCTCAAGGTACCTGCAGACGGAGTAAATGAGCTTCAAAAAATCTTTCAATTTTATTAAAACAAAGAACGTAGAAAAAATTCTTTAAAAAATTGTTTCCTCCGCCCAAAAATAACACCGCGACGGAAAATAGGAAAAATCCCATTCGACGAGTGGCTGACAGCAGCTACTTTGCTTCTAAGCGTTTTTCACCGTCCCGACCTAGCCAGTTGTTTTTCGGTCTATTTAAGAGTTAGCCATCGTTTTGCATTTTTTAGTGGCGTTAGAGACGAACTTGTTATGAAAAAGAGGGTCTGAATGTTTTGCAATTTCAAATTTCAAATTTTCGATTCTCAGCAGATGATTTCTGAGTATGCGGCAGCGGCCATTTTGAACAGGAAAAAAAGAGAAGATAAGAGAACAAACGAAGGCGCCGATAAAACAAGCTGAAAAAAGCAAGAGAAAAAACTAGGTCTCTTATCTTGACGATCAGACACGATATGACACTTAGCTGAAGCAGATAAGAAGAAAGGAGGCTTCAGTGGGAGGTCGGAGCGGATCCGTACCCTCCTGTACCACGAGATTGAAGAGAGAACGACGTTATCTCTGAGAGAAAACGGAATTGGAGGCCCGGCGCCCAGAGACTGTGTAAACTATCAAACTTACTATATAGCTGCTGTGATCCCGAAAAAAATTGAAAGAAATCCAATTTTATGTAGTATTTCATAGCATGAGTAGCTAGGAAGAGGAAAAAGTCAATCCAGCTCCAAAGGATTTAGTATATAACTGTCACTAAAAACATAGTAAATAATGGATTTCGATTCTTGTTTTTATTGGTAATCACGTAGCCTGGGGATCCGAGATCCAGCTGCGTGGTTTATTTTCGCAAGTAAACGAAAGCTGATCAAAAATAGTTTGACTGATGGCATAAAAATGTTAACTTTTCTCTTAGCCCTAAGCAGACCAGAAAACTAACTGGCTAGGTCCAGACGGTGAAAACCGAGTAGAATTAGGGTAACTGACGCCTACCAGTCGTCAATAGGTACTTTTTCTACGCTCCGTCATTGTGTAATGTTTGGGCGAATGTTACATTTCTTACATACGTCATTTCCTGTTTTCTCTAATTGGGAGGATTTGGATCAGTACTTAATATTCCACCTGACTTTCCGGCTCCATTCGATCTCGCGGTTAAGCTTCCTATCGCTTCCACGTGTTGAGTCCGGAGGCTCCGATTCATTGTAGTCTGTTTCCTCCTTTTTCGTTTCTTTTCGCTTTTCACGCGTCCGTTTTTCGTGTGGTGATCGGCTGTTGTGTGTTTGGTACGTGTTGCAATGAAAATGGCCGTTTTGTATTTCTCAGAAATATTCTGGCTCCAATCGAAAATTTATAAACTAAATTTCCAGAATAACACTGGATGAATTGCACTATCAATGCATAAGTTGATATCATTATTTACTTTAAAAAATGCACAAGAGCCGATTATTCTCAAAGCTATTAAAATCAGCTCAATTACAACAAACTTGTCGAATACGAAGTTGATACGCAACGTTTTGAGATCTGCATCTCAAGAACAATAAAAGAGAACCGTTACGGTCATTTATAAAAAATAGTAGAACTCATTTTATGTCAAAAAAATTTAGCCAGAAAACCACACTCCTGAATTTCGTGCGACACTCGCCGCATATATTCGTAGAAAAAATAGTCTTGTCAAAATTGCAAAGAAAATCTATATAAAATAAATAAAATAAAGAAAATCTATAATAAAATAAAGCACTGAAAAATAAATCTGAAACCATGCACTCATAAAACAGATGTTGAAGCTAAATTTTCCTAATAATCTTATAAAACATTTGTTTTCCCAAAAATAATAAGACAGCTACCAAAAAAGTAAAAATTAAACACCCGGCAAGTAAGCCGACCAAAATTGAGACGAAATCAATAAAGCCGACAAAAAATCAGTACAAATCTGAAAATTTATTAAGATATAGCCCCGCTATCGCTGCAGTAGCTCTAGACCAGCTGTTCAACTATTGCTGTTAAATTATAACTGTTAATTGTTCAACTTGGGTAGAAATAGAGATCTTGAATTTGGAGATTCGATCCTGTGAACAAAGTTGGGTTCCTGAGAAAAGCAAGTATGACAGATGGGTCCTGCACTTTTTGAGAAAAGTTTTAAAACAATTAATTTTCTGAACCTATTTCAAATTTTTGAACCTGTTTCCGAACATTTTAAGCTCAAAAAATTCTCTATAGGGACCCAGCTATCATCCTTGTACCCAGAGTTATTTACGGGCAAGAGTAAAAATAGGTTCAGTGTTTTGTTTTAGAAAAATGTAACAGTAAATAAACAAGTGGTTACCCTGATTCCGATAATTTCATGCTCCTAACCGACTCTAAGTTTTTGGTACGCTACATTTCAGATATTTATTGGGGCTAGCTTTGAACACAGAGTGAGTTGACCAAATCATGGAGGCTCTGGCAATTTACGACTTCAATGCTACTGCTGACGACGAATTGAGTTTCAAAAGAGGCGAGACTTTGCTTGTATTACAAACAGATCGTGATGCAAATTGGTTCAATGCAGAACTGAGAAGTAGGACAGGTTTTGTACCAAAAAACTACATTCAAATGAAAGAGTGTCCGTGGTATCAAGGTAAGATAACACGTGCCAACGCAGAACAACAGTTACTGAAGCAACCTCATGACGGCGCCTTCCTGATCCGAGACTCGGAAACTGACAGCATGGCTGGCAGTTTTTCCTTGTCAGTCAAATTTATGGACAGTGTGCAACACTTCAAAATTTTGCGAAAAGAGGACGAAGTTACTAAAAAGATGGTGTTTCACATTTGGGTTCAAGGCTTCCTTTCTTTAAACCTCCTCGTAGACAATTACCGAAGTATATCGATCAGCAGAAGTCATCGGATAGTGCTGACAGATATGGTGCAGCTCATCGGCAAAGCTAGAGCATGCTACGATTTCACCAGGCAAGAGGACGGAGAACTCCAGTTCAACAAAGGAGATGTCATTGACCTTCTGGACACAAGCAACTCCCAATGGTGGAAAGGACAACTGAACGGAGAATCTGGCTATTTCCCTGCTACTTTTGTGCAGATTTTATGAAGTTTTGGTAAACTAACCTTATAAAGTAAAAGTTGAAATTGGCGGCTTCAATTGCGATAAATTGTTTAAAATAAAAATGACAAATACAGTTAAGCAGTGGAAGTAGAACGTGTTAGTTTTTCATGCAACCTAAATTTATAAATTTTTATAGTTTCAAATTTAATTTTTAAACTACTTTCACTTCAAATATGGTCACCTTGAGGTGCTTCATTTTCTTTCTTTTTCATTTACAATATAAAATTTATTTTGCATTTTGATAGTTTGTTCAGAACCCACCTTAAAACATGTGCTGTATTGGCTCGAAGTGAAACTTTTTTATGTTTTTAAAATCAATGTACGTCATTAAGTATATATTAGCAAATCATGCAGCTATTATGCAACCTGTTTAATAAGGGTGTAAAGTGTTTTGGCATCGTTCCGTTTGTGGATTATCCGAATTGAAAGCAGCAAAAATAGAGCACAACCTCTTCAAGAAGTTAGGCCAACCTCAAGTAGTTAGTATCCCCATTACCCATGCCAAAGACACACAAGTGATCGTGTGCAACCTAGCAATTTAATAACGGAGCACCGAAGTTGAACGAAGAGCCCACACTGCCCGACCTACGCCCACAAAAGACAGAAAGAACTAAGTCAGACCAACTCCTTATACAAAACTTTTAGTTTCTATTTTCAAGCTGCTTGTATTGTTGTTTAACTTAAACCTGTAATCTAAGCTGTTTGATTTTTACTGTAACCTTGTTCAAACAGTTGTTTCTATAATTATTCTTCTGACCCGAAAACATGAAAATAAGTTAAGTTCGTGGAATTGAAGAATGAATATCCAGATTCTTTTAGTTCACCGTACATCACACTTAACTCAATGTGTCAGAAGACATTTGCATAAATATTTCCATCTATTTTGACGACTAGATTGTAGATAACAAAGATAAAGCCCACTCTGCTCCTTTGAAATTTACAGAACAAAAAAGAAGCTATTCTGAAATTGAAGTGGAAGAAATGGGCAGTTGAGGTTATAATAATATTCAGATTTATAGTGGACTCTTCGTCGATTTTTTCTACAAAGGGACTGAACGAGCTATTGAGCTCTGGTTTATGACAAAGAGTTAATTCATTTTGTTTTGTTTGTTTCAATGCCTTAAGAATATTTATGCAATGCTAAGCAATATGTCATTAACGAATGAAACTAAATTTATATTAAAAGACATAGTTTTCCATGTTCCTGGTGCCAGTATAACGGTGGCACTGAACCGAGAGGGTATCAACCATAAGGTGAGAGGCTTAAAGCAATTTTTACAAAAGATAAAATAGCTAGCTGTTATGCTTGTACTATAACAACAGACCACTTTTTTCGTTCGTAAGTCGCACATTTTCTAGTGCAATTTTTTTTGTGGCAAATTTACATAAGACTGCGGTATATGCCAAAAACGAAGAGATTAATGCAGGCTATGGAATTCAAGTCCCTCTTCAGTGAGAGGTCAGGGTCCTAATGGTTGACGATTACAAACAATTGAAAAACGAGCCGATAAATTTTGTAATGACAAGCTGGTGGTTAATAATACATACCTAGTTAATCAGTCCAATCTGCGTGCGACTCAAAAGAGCTAATAAAGTTATAAAAAGGCATGGAGATGTTTCTAGTAGTGTAGTATTATTGTTCCGACTTTCGATACGAAAGTAACGGAATATTTGTGCTCGGGGTGGGTTTTTTTTTCTTCAGACAAATTTCGACTTTTTAACTAGCCATTTTTGATGGAATTTTTTTTATATCATTCGAAAGCCATTGTTGTCCTGAGCTTAAATTTGAAAAGATTTTTTACCTGTGATCATTTTGCGTAAAGTTATGAGGGTTTAAAGATTGCCATTTTGACCAATTTGGGACAATTAACGCGCGATATAATTCGCGCTATTAACGCGTAAGCGGAGATTTAATCCGTCTTATAAATCGTTCCAAATTGGTTGGACAAAGCTTATTTGCCATAATTGATTTGTTACAAGGAACGAAATCTATCTTTTTGTACTTTATATGGCGTGTGGGGGGATAATTTTCATAAAAAATTTCAAATTAAAAAATAGTTTTTTTTTTAATTTTATTTTATTTCATTTAATTTTTTATGTTATTACATCTGCTCCATAAACCTTAAAGGGCAGTCGGAACATTCAGGGCTTTGCCCTGATACAAGCAGTCTTGTTGATATTTTCGTTTGAGTATGGTCATCTATGAAATGTTTCTACAATTTAGCCACTTTCAATTAGCCACTAGAAATGACGAAGAGGTTGATAATGTTTCCTCATCCCAATCGAAATGTCGGCCATCATCCACTCTTCTTGAAAAATGAACATGCCAATTTTTTGCGTTTACGAGGTGGTCATTTTTTCCGAACCTAACTTGCATAACTAAATGCTCTGCAAAATGGCTTTATAAATTTGGAGTTATAAATGTTGCCCATGTGTTTTATCCGCTTGTTTTGCCGCTATATTGATGACTGGTGTTTGGAAAACAGCAAGAGTATATAGCACATTTGTCGAGAGACTAGATTCTAAATGTGTGGGTCGGAGATACGGATCCGCACAGTAGTCAATCCATTGGTGTATTTTTTTTTCAACGGAAGTCGTATTTCTTTATGTTAAGTCTAGCACAGTATTTTCGTATAATCCAGCGCTAAATTACAAAAGCTACTGAAATAGTAATGCCAGCTGTTGTAATTGCTCGAAATGTGAGAAAAACTCATTGATTGATTTTCATTTTAAAGGCAGTTGAAAAGTGCAAACTTGGGAAAATAAATACGCACCATTTACCAGTTTCATATTAACGAGTAACAAATTCGGCTCAGAAAACAGTTCAAATGAACTTGATTAAGATGAGCTGTTTGGCCTTATTAAGAATTTAGTTGGCTAAAACTTCACTTTTCTATATAAAAATGGGTAGGGATAATTGAGTTAACAAAAAAGTTAATTTGAGGTTTTAAAGCTTCGATTTTATTTTATTTCTATCGTGTATACAAAAAAGTATACCAAAGCGTTAATTTGAGGTTTTATAGCTCCGCGTTTTTATCGTACCTGTGAAATGCCCCTGTATAGACTGATATAGCGTAGTTTTTTTTCGGAGTACTTCACGATGCGGTAATCTACCATGTCGTAGTCGGGATCTTTTTTGCGCGACCTCGAGTACCCCATGGAAAGCCGACGGTGGTTCGAAAATTGCGGCTTCACAGCTCTTGTTAAAAATTCAGCTACCAAAATCATTTGAAAACGTATCTGAATATCGCGATAATTCGCTCTGAATGGCAATATCTGCATATTAATTTTGGACTAGAAAAACCATCTCCAGTACATAACTTCATTTAAAAATTTAAAATCAAGCTAGAGATAAGCAAGCGTTATCAAATTGGAATATACTGGACTTTTTGTTGAGGCGTAAATCCGCACATATGGCGTAGAAGTAATGCACATACCTGCGAAGACCGTGATTCATATCCGGCCAGGACATGTTTAAGAGTCGTTAACGTAGTGAAGAATCTTATATAGGTCGCGATTGTTTTTTTTTTATAGCACTTCTGTTTTTTTTTCTATATACCTGGTTATTTTTTGCTCCGTTGCATTGCTTTTGTACCTGGTTTATTGGTGGCTATAGTTGCATTGCTTTTGTACCTGGTTTATTGGTGGCTAAATGTTGCCCTTTTCGCTAAAGTTTTCATTGTTCTTGAGATTTAGTTACCAATTTTCAAAAAATGTTACCAAAGGATAGACCGGCTGTGTAGAGTTCGATCAGGTGAGTAGAGTAGACCCTGTGTAGTGAGTTATTCCATGACTGTTTTTCAAAAATGTTGACCGTTTTCTGAGATGAAAAATTCAATTGAAAGAACAGGTTGCGATAATTGTTCCCGCAGAAGTGACAACTCCTTTTTTTAAGAGAAAGGTTATCTCCGCGGGAAAATTGATTATCTCAATTTTTTTACTCATCACTCATTTTAGTAGAGAAACAATTAAGGTTTTGGGCAAAGTCCAATTTTTGAAATCACACTTTCGTGCCGCTTCATTATAGCAAATTCAATATGAAACACGTACCTCCGTTTTTAGTTGGCCCCTGATTTTTTTTTATCGAAAAAATTTAAGTTCACCTAATTTTTTTCAACATTCAAATTTTTTTCGATCTAAGTTTTTTTTATAATTGTGTTGCATCGCAAGTGATGCGCGAAGCTCTTCTTCGCCTCTGTGTTAATTCAAATTTCTTAGCGTTCGCGACCCAGTTAGCATGGAGGTTAGAATCTTACAAAGACCTGTTTTTTTTCAAACGGCCAATTTTTCGTCTGAAACATCTTAGAATCGTTTTTTTTTCGCTGCGCGAATTTTTCTTTAATGTTGCTATTAATGTTGATTAATTCCTGCATTTCGTAGTTTTACTTACCTTGATTTCATATTTCCTTTTTTTGCTTTTAATTTGTATTTCGGCCTACTGTTTATCTACTTAGTGACCGTATTTTGCGCCGTTTCGAGGGATATGCATTTTTTACGTTCCTTTTCCCTTTTTTTAAGTTCGTTTTGTATTTTCACCACTCGGTTTATTAATTTTTTTTTCCATTTTTTTGGTTTGATAGGTTTCTGCTTGTTTTTTTTTATATCGGCTTAGCAGCCTCTTTTTGCATCGTTTGATGCGCGTAAAAAGGTTTTGTGTCTGTGTGGGCTTTGAAAGGGAGGGAACGCAAACGTTTTTCATAGTTTTTGAATTTTAAATAAGAGGCTGGAAGAGTTTCTGCTCAGGTATTTTCGGCTTCGTCGCCGCCTGGTTAATTTTGTTCCGCTGCTGATTTTGCATTCTATTTCGGCATTTTTTTTTCACTACTATATTAATTCATTTTGATAGATCTAGTTGTATCGCAAGTGGTGAGAAGCTCAGCTTCGCGCGGTCCTTGGTTCTAAATTTTTAATAAGGTAGTTTTTGAGTATCTACTAGGATCAATGTGTGAGAACTTTGTAGTCAGTTTTTTTTTTACTTTTTCCTAGTAATTTTTTCAGCTTGATTAAAAAAAATGAAATGCTTCTTTTTTTCCAATATCTTGTAAGGCTAGGTTTTGAATTGTATCGCAAGTGGTTTAAGCTTCTGTGTAAAATTTGTATTTTTACTTTACTTTTTGTACTTCCAAGTTCGAGTCAGTTTTTCTAATGTTTCCTTGCGTTCAATGATTGTTTTCCAACTGGCTGCTTAGCTTTTTCTGTAAACATGAATTTTTCTGCGTGACATATAATCATTTCTGAACTTTTATTTGTCGATGTTTTTTCGGCTCAGTTGCACTGCACAGAATTGGCGTACGCTTTGAGAACTTTTTTAATAGCTGAAAATGTTTTTAAGATATATGCAATGAATGAGTTTCAAATATAGCAGAAATTTTTCTTAGAGGTTTTTTGAAATTGTTTTTTTTAATCACAGTTTTTGAAAGATTTTCAGATTTTTATCTCTTTTTGAATTCCTCTTTGATTCAAAAGAAAACATCATATATGGCCTTCTCTTAACTTTTTGAAAATTTGATTATTTGTGGTTGCAATTATTATTATTTCAGGTTAAATATTTATTTGGTAAATTTTTGGGATCTTCATCCCTATCATTAGCATAATTTCTGAGAGAGCTCGAAAAAATCAGTTTGGGTAACCAAAAAAAAAGATGAAAACTTTCAAACTTCGATGAATTCTTCATCATCCTCTCCCTTCCGGATACTATGTCTAAAAATTACTCAAAACGATTCTTGCTCTCAAAACGATATTTTTTGCTGTATTTTGAGCGTAGTAGTGAATATCTAGTCTTTTTCCATGTTGTTTTTCTTCAAACTTTTTATTTTTTTAAATTTTACTTCTGTTTTTACTGAGACATTTTTCACAATTTAATACCGATGAGGTCAAAATTAAACACCGAGGTAAAGAGGAGCTTCGCACTACTTGCGAAACTTACTTGCGAAAGTTAAAAAATATGCGCTATAATTACAGGTTAAAAACAGCCTGATATTACACAAAAAAAAATACTTCACCAACATAAACCAAAACGAGTGAAACAATTTTAAGGGAACATTTTTTACGCCGTAGTGCTGGCCTTTTAAAGTGTATGTGTATGTAATCAAACAAATATAATTACCAGCACTGTGGTATAAAATTTGTTCGGGCTAGGTTCTTTCATAAAAGTTTCATTTGTTTTGGTTTATGTAAGCCAAGTGATTT